GGGAGAAAGCACCCCTAATGGGGTGTGGTAATGCTGCATTCCCTTCTTCTCCATTTTTTCATCTAGTTGGGATTTGGGTCATGCAAACACATGTCTATTTTAAGCTGCTGAGTCCAGGATTCAAACTTTAGTTGGCAATGTAGGACCTGGCTACCTTAACCACCAGACTACAGGGCCACCCCACCTCCTTTTAAGTTGATTGGGTTATTTGCTAATTGATATTTTCTTGTAAGGGGAGGCTTATGGCTGATGATGAAAAAACTGCCCAAGGCTTCTTTATGCTGCCTTTTCCCAAAGGATGCGTCTTTCTGTTTTAATTTTTCTAGGCGTTCTGTAACTTTCATTATAGAAAGTTCAGAAAACACAAACTATTCTTCAGAGATGATCACTGTTAACATTTTAGTATATTTCTATCTGTGATGGTTTAGGCTATGGTTCCATTGTTTAGTTAACACTAGTCTAGATGTTTCTGGAAAGATGTGGTAAACATGTAGACTTTGAGTAGACTATTTTCCATAATGTGGGTATAGATCTCATCCAATAATTGAAGTCTTACAAGACCAAAGTCTCATAAAGAAATCTACCTCAAGTCTACAACATAGCAACCCTATCTGAGTTGCCAGCCTGCACATTTTGGGTTCAAGACTACAGTTTCAGGGACCAGTAGGTGGCATGGTGGTTGAGGTGCTGGACTCCCACATGGCCAACCATGGTTTGAGTCCTAGACCTGGTGGGTTGCTTTCTCACTTTTTCTCTCTCTCTGGTCAGATTAAAAAATAATAGTAATGAATAATTTTTTAGAAGACTCAACATCAGCTCTTCCATGAATTTCTACTCTGTCAGCCTGTTCTCTAGATTTCAGACTTTCCCAACCCCAAAATTGCATGAGCCAATTCTCTCTTTTCTTCTCTCTTAGTATATCCTATTAGTTCTTTTTGTCTGAAAATCACAGATTTATCTACCTTTTTGCTAACTCATTTCCTCTGGATTACCACCTCTGAAACTAAAATGTTCTTGTGAATTGCCTGGAAATGGTTCAAGTGCAGCCTTTCAGTTCATAGGTGGTGGACTGAGATTCTGTTTTTCTATCAAGCTCTCAAGTGATACTCATGTTACTAGTCTGTGGACTAGATTTTTGGGTAGCAAGGCTTTAAATAACTAACTTTTGGCGACCAGCAGGTGGTGTAGTGGCTAAGGCACTGGACTCCCACGTGGCTGACTGCAGTTCAAGCTCCAGAACCAGCAACTTGAAACTCATACAAGTGTGTGTACATGCATACCCCAAATCCGAAGATAAGAATGGAAGAGAAGGGATTGTGGTGTGGCGATTCCCCCCTGAAGAATGACTTTTCACTTTCTGTTTCTGTCTCTTCCTATCTCTCTAACAAGCATATGTGCTCTATTGCAAAAATCTCCCAAAATAAATAAATAACCAACTTTTCTTTTTAAAAAAGAATTATTTTTTTTATTTTACTTATTTACTATTATTATTTTTTAATTTGCTATAGGGCACAGGTGTTCACCAGAGAGAGACACAGAGAAAGAGAGAGAGAGAAAGCAAACCACCAGGTCTGGGACTTGAACCACTGTCAGCCATGTGGGAGTCCAGCTCCTTAACCACCATGCCATCTGCTGGTCCCCCAACTTTTTCTTTTAAACTGTTTCATGGTTTCTATTATTTTCTTATAGCATTATCTGTAGTAACTGCATTGCACTCCATCAACAGATTGCCATAGTTTAGTCAACCCATTTCTAGTTGTCTCAATATTAGTTTGGTGTCAATTTTTCACTATTATATAATTTTGTGATAGACATCCTTATGCATAAATCTCTGTGTGCAACTCTATTTTCTTATAATAATTTTGTCAAAGAAGAATTCCTAGGCCAAAATAGATATATTTTTTCAGACTTTAGAAAGATTCTTCAGAAAAATTGTCCAAGTATACTCTCACCCAAAGGCCTGATTTCTGCTGCACCTGAAGCTTGCATGCCTGGCTTCTGACTTCAAAGGCTGCCCTTGGCTTTTGACTGGTGCTTGCATTGTCAGTGTGTGCTGAGCTGCAGAACCTACTGAACAGACATGATTCTCAGAATTCATTCATCAGTTTTCCAATTTGATTAGTGATATTATTTGATTACTCAGTTAAGACAATGGATACTCTGCTAGGAGCTGGGATACAGGAGAGTTAGTTCAGTAACTAATTATAAATTTAATTTAATTATAGTCATAGTTATTACTTAGTATAGTAAGTTATAACAAGAACCTGGTCTTGGGAACCAGCAGTTAGCGTAATGGCTATGTCGCTGGACTCCCACGTAGTCGACCGCAGTTTGCGTCCTGGACCCGGTGGCTTAAAACTCACGCTGGGCGCGTGTGCGTGCGTGCCCAAGATCCCGAGAGAAGAATGGAGGAGAAGGGATTGCGGCGTGACCATCCCCCCTAGGGGGTGATTTCTCGCTTTCTGTCTCTCTGTCTCTCTCTGTCTGGCGAGCGCACGCACCCTATAGTGAAAACCTCTCCCCCCCCCAAAAAAAAAAAAAAAGAACCTGGTCTTATCTAAGAGTCAAAGATACTGCCTTCAGAAGTGACATTGCGTTCTGATTGTTCTTGAGGATGTGGCACTCAGTTCCCTAACTTTTGGCCAATATTTTTCAAATAGGTTGAGGCTCTGATGACAGAACTTTGGAAATCACCTTTAGTGAGACATGGACACGTGAAGTCTCCAAAGGTCTCTCAAGAGGTTCATTGTGACTGCTGTTCCTCATTATTTTTGTCGTGCTCTCATGGAGAAGACTCTTCAGGAGAGTCCTCCACTTCTATCTGATCTTGTTGAGTCTCAGTTTTCCATTACCAAATCTGAATATTATCTGATTCCTCTCCATGTCCATTTTTTACATGAAATTGAGCCTAAATAACACAGTTTTTTAAGGTTATTCATCATAAGCAAGTATTTGAATATGATAGTTGAAAAGAAAGAAATTAGTACTACAAAACTATTGTAACAAAAACAGTGTGGTGCTGGCATAAGGATAGACATATAGATCAATGGAACAGAATTGAGAGTCAAAAGTTAAATATATTTATAACCAATTTATACTTTATAATGGTGCCAGAAAACACTTTTTTCAAAAATTAGTGCTGAGGCAAATATATGCCCATAGGCCAGAAAAAGTGAAGTTGAACTCTTGACATCATATACAAAAATTAACTCAAAGTAACCCAATTACCAAAATAGAAGAACTAAAATAATAAAACTCTTAGAAGAAAACATTAGGGGTAAATCTTCATAACCCTGGATTTGACGGCGGACCCTTAGATATGACACCAAAGCATGAACAACAAAAGAAAGAAAATAGAAAAGTTGGACTTCATCAAAATTTTAAAAAATGGGCCATTTAGGTGACATGATGTTTAAGATGGGTGGATCTCAGCTGTGTAGTTCAAGTCCTGGACTTGGCCACTTGAAAAACACATCAGGTGGGTATGTGTGTGTGCCCAAACTTTCAAGAGGAAAATAGAGGAGAAAGGATTGTGATATAATCAACTTCCTTTGCAGGGTTATCTCTCTCTCTCCAGTGAGCACGTATGCCCTATAGAAAATTAAGAACTTTTTAAAAATTGCATCAAGAAGTATTGTTTTAAAACTGAGAAGAAACCTATAGAATGGGGGAACACAACTCTGAATTATATAGCAAATAAGGATGTAGTATTCAGAATACAGAAAGAATTCCAAAACAAAAAAGACAAACAGCCCAATTTAATAATAGATAAAGGAGTTGAGTAGATATTTCCCCACAGAAGATATACAAGTGGACAATAAGCACAAGAAAAAATGGTCAACATTATTAGTCATTAGGGAGATGCAAATAAAAATCCCGATGAGGCACCTCTTTAAACCCACTAGGAAAGAAATTTCAAATGGAAAATAAGCATTGATGAAGATGTGGAGCAATTGGTACCCTCATGGATTGCTGTTGGAAATATAAGTTAGTGCAGCTACTGTACAAAATACATTGGTGGTTCCTTTGAAAAGTTAAACATAGAATTCTATATGACCTAGCAGTTCCACTCCTAGTTATCTTGTATACCCCAAAGAGTTGAAAACTAGTACTCAAACAAATAGATGTATATGCATGTTCACAGCAGTATTATTCAAAATATCGAAACAGAAATAGTACTAAGTAACTATCAACAAATGAGATGAATAGATAAACAAAATGCAGTATTATTCATACAATAGGATATTATTCAGCAATAGAAGAGAATGAGATGCTGATACAAGCTATAGTTGTATATAATTATGCTAGAGACCAGGAAATGGTGTAATGATTACATCACTGGATTCCCACTTAGTCAACTGCAGTTTGAGTCCTAGACCCCACGGCTTAAAACTCACACTGGATGCATGGGCCTGCATGCCCAAAATCCTGAAAGAATGGAGGAAAAGAGAAACCATCCCCCCGGGGGGTGATTTCTTGCTTTATGTTTCTATCTTTCTCTGGTGAGCACACATGCCCTATAGCAAAAATCTCTCTTAAAAATTATGCTAAATTAAAGAAAACAGGTTAAAAAAAAGGCCACTTATTACATAATTCCATTTATATGAAATATTCAGAATAGGTAAATTCATAAAAACAAAATAGAGATTAGTGACGCCAGAGGCCAGAAGAAGGTGAGTATGGGGAACAATTGCTTAATGGGTACAGCGTTTTCTTTTTGGGGAATATTTTGGAACTAGATACAGGCAGTGGTTGTACAACATTATGAATGGTTAAGTGGCTTATTTACATGGTAAATTTTATGTTAGATGAACTTCACCTCCATAAAAAAATAAGAAAGAAATCAAGACTAGATTCTTTCCCCCTTATATCTGCCATCTTTTCTGGTTTCAATTTTAAAACACAGTCATGACATATCTTTGGTTATTACTGCCTTGGGATTTTATTAGCTGTCTTGCTGATGGGGATTCCCATCATTTTTCCTACTCTGTACTATTCAGATTTCAGTCCAAGGCTTCAGGAACATTGCAAGCAGCTGTAGTGGAATTATGCATCTGACCATCAATGACATGCCAACTCTGACAGACAACTGTGTAAAGGTAAGTAGGTAGGTTGGAAAGGGTGTTTGCTTCTCAGCCCCATAGATGGGAAAATTTCATAATGGTTAGAATTATTGAAAAATATGGATAGGGTTTTCATTGTAATTACTTTTTAATAGTAAGAAAAGCATTTTAAAATTTACATGCACGCACACACACACGAGTGCATACACAGACACCCATACCTCCCAAAGTATTTTAATATTTGAATCCTTAAATACCCTGAGAAACTTTGTTTCACAGTTAGTCTGTTTTTGTTTCAGTGATATAGTCTAGGCATAAAGTTTAAGTTTTGTTGTCCGTGTCAGGCTGCCAAATGTAGTGTTTTTTCTATCTTCCATTTTCTCATGTTTTTCCATACTCTTGTAATATGATTTAATTCTGACTCCTCTGTCAGAGTGCTAAAATACATTGAAAAAAAAATCCCCTTTTCCAGAAAGTTTAATAGTTCATATGTATTGGGAGGAAAAATATGATCTCATTACATTGCTAAGTTTGTTTTATACGTTGTGATTAATTTAATCTATTTTTTTTTCTTCTGAAGGCCTTAGTTGAAAAGTGCTCACGTATTACATCAGTAGTGCTCACTGGTGCACCACATATCTCTGATCATACTTTTAAAGCACTTTCTACTTGTAACCTCAGAAAGATCCGATTTGAAGGTCTGTGATATTAAAATGTATTAGTTCTGCATTATTTTTTACTTTTATTCGTGAGGTCTTAAAAATACAGTACTTATCTTGTCTTCTATTTTTTTTAAACTAGGAAATAAAAGGATTAGTGATGCATGCTTCAAATTTATAGACAAGAATTATCCAAATATCAATCACATTTACATGGCAGACTGCAAAGAAATAACAGATAGTAGCCTCAAGTCACTTTCACTTTTAAGGCAACTGACCGTGTTGAATTTGGCCAACTGTGTGAGGTAATGTTATTCAGTCATATATTCAAGAAACACTGAATGTCTACATTGTGCCAGGCCTGCTCCTAAGGAGCTGGTTGGTTATTGGGGTAAACATTAAAGTCAGGAGTCCAAGTGTTAATGTGGAAGTAAGCACAGACTTCTACAGAAAGGCACCTAACCCAAATTAATTATATAGTGGTATAGGGACATTTTCTGGGAAAGTTCAGGGTATGACAAATCATGGACCCTTGTCATATTACGTGAGCTCACAGGAATATTAATGGATTATCTTTCTTAGTTCAGTTAATAAGTTCAGCTAGTTTAGCAAGGTTTTTCTCTTGAGTACTGGTTAGACTTCTGCCCTATGTGGAACTTATGACAAGTGAACAGATTGTGAGTTCTTTTTCTTTTTAAGATTTTACTATTCCAGTAAATTATTCCATTATCAATCAAAGAAATACCTACAAGACAGTTTTTTTAAAAAAATTAGTTAAAAAATTAGGGTGCATGAACTCACTGGAGAGAGAAGGAGAATGAGAAATTACCCCCCAGAAGAGATGGCCACACTACAATCCTTTCTCCATTCTCCTCTTGGGATTTTGGGCATGCACGTACACACACCCAATGTGTTTTTCAAACCACCAGGTTCTGGACTTGAACCACACAGTTGGCCATGTGGAATCCAGCCACTTTAACACCATACCATCAGCTGGACCCAGATTGTGAGTTCTTACTGAAACATTTTCTTCAGCTGGGCCAGAAGTACTGGGCTCCTATTCTGGTGTTCTCAGGTGAACAAGGATCACTTTCTACTTTGTACGCCCTCTTTTGCAATGGATAGTTCATTCTTTTGCCTTGTAGATTTATTATAATCTTATAGAGCTAGGTGGTACTAACATATCATTAATCCACAATGAAGTTGGCTAATATATGGGAAAACACAAGATAAGTCAGTGTAATAAGCTATGCTACACAAAATCTTAACCCATGTTCCTTGTTATATTTTATTTATGTATTTATTTCTTCTGACAGAGAGCGAGAGAAAGAGAGAGCAGTATTCTCAATAGGGTCTTAGCACCATGACCCACCTCCAGCCTTAGCTAGCCTGGGTAACTGGTATACATAGCCAGTATATAAGGGAAGCACCAGGACATTCCTGTATGGGTTCAGATGTGTTACTGTTGTGCTAACATCTGGCACCCATGTCCCTTTTTTTAAAAGAATTATTTATTTAATTCTATTTATTATAAATTTGCTATAGGGCATGTGTGCACACCAAAGAGAGACAGATAGAGGGAAAGTGAGAAAGCAAGCCGCCAGGTCTGAGACTCAAACCATGGTAGGCCATATGGGAATTCAGCGCCTCAACTACCATGCCACTTACTGGCCCCATGGTCCTTGTTATTAAAATGAAGAGACCTCATAGATTGGCAGGGTTAGAGGGGGACTTAGATTTGGAATGTGAAAAGCTCAGATTAGGAAATAAGTCCTCCAGCCAACAGCCAGCGAACTGAGGCTCCCTGCTGATAACCATGAGTGATCTTAGAATCAGACCTTCTAGCTACAGTCAAGCTTCAGATGCCTGAAGCTCTAGCTGACATCTTAACTGCAATCTCATCAGACACCTTAGTCTAGAACCACCTACTGAGTCCACTTCCAGATTCCTAATATCCTGAAACTGAGAAACAACAAATGGCATTTAAGCCACAAAGTTTGGGTCAGTTTATGACATAGTAATAAATAACAGAGATACGCGTACACACACACACACACACACGTATTTATTTCTTCTGAGAAAGAGAGAGAGAAATAAACAGAGAACTGATCCAACCCCTAGTCTCAGCCAGCCTAATAAGATAGAAAGAAAGAAAGAAAGAAAGAAAGAGAGAAAGAGAGAAAGAGAGAGAAGGGAGGGGAGGGGAGGGAGGGAGGGAAGAAGGAAGGAATTAGAAATAAAGGTCCCATTAGAAGACAGGGAACTGATGGGTCAGACATATTTGCTACCATTCCTAAGTCAGTGCCAACATGGTAGGGGATGGCAATGACACATACAAGATGTTTCTGATTAGGACAGGCAATATGGGAAAGCCTGAGATCAAACTTTCTTGTCCTTATTCTGGTGTCAGATTGTCTCTAGTTCAGAAGAAAAGAACCCATAGGCCACTAACTGGGTTTTCAGTTCAGTCAATTTGACCTTGTATTTAATCAAAATTTCCACAAGATTGTGGCAGTAGTTTTACTGTTAATCTTAATTTTCCTCTCCTAAATTGTGGTCTTTTTCTTTTACAAGCAATTGTATCAGAGACTGTTTAACTTGATCACATTTTAACCCTACAGAAGAAGACTTTAGGCCACCTATCTTATTACTTAATTGTGCCACCTAATTAAATGGACAAATGGACAGAAATAACATTTTTATTAATACTTCTCTGTCATTGATATGTTTTATATTATATTAAAAGCTACATAATCAAATTTAGTTTCAAATTGTTAACAAAATACCAGTATAGATATTACTTTACTATATTGGAAATACATTGGTTATAATAACTATTGTTTTAATACTATTGTACATATTTATATATAAATTCACATATGAAGATTTTCTTACTCTTTTATACAGAATTGGTGATATAGGACTAAGACAATTTCTTGATGGTCCTGCAAGCCTAAAGATAAGAGAACTAAATTTAAGTAACTGTATACATCTGGGTGATCTGTCTATTGGAAGACTCTCAGAGCGGTATGATAAAACAACATTTTACATCATATAATTAGTAATTATATAGTTGCTAATAGAAATCAAAGATAGACCTAAAGGCAAAGACTTAGAACCTTTTGAAGAACATCAGGGTTGCTCAGAAGCTGTTCTACTATTTAGTGAAACCAAATAAAAGATATTAAAGTCATAGATTGAACTCATCTTTTGATTATATGTAATATGTTTCTTATTAATCTGACCTAAGAGAAAGTTTGAGATAGAGTCATTCATGAAATAATGAGTATCTGGACAGGAGTCACTTCTCTGTATTTTTCAAATTTTTCATCTCTATGTCATCCATTACTCTAGCATTTCCTATGGGGCATTCTAGCTAGTTGGTTTATTCTTGACTCCTCTTATCAGAGGTTTTACACAATTCCTGTAGAAAACTCATAAGGAATAAGTGAGGAACTTGTACTTTTAGTGATCATTCACCTTGGTACTTGCCTGATTGTTTTTTGCATGCATCTAATATTTACATATATTTTAAATTATAAATTGTTTTATAAAATTAAATTGGAGAAAGTAATTTAATTATCTACTTCACTTTCATCTAATGTTGTAATGCCAAAATATTTTCTACTTTGAGACTTAGTTTTCTGTTGGAAAAGGAAAATCATTGCTCACATATAATTTATTTTATATGAAGAAATTGCTATTGGGAACCAGCAGTTAGCGTAATGGCTATGTCGCTGGACTCCCACGTAGTCGACCGTGGTTCATGTCCCGGACCCGGTGGCTTAAAACTCACGCTGGGCACGTGTGCGTGCGTGCCCAAGATCCCGAGAGGAGAATGAAGGAGAAGGGATTGCGGTGTGACCATCCCCCCTGGGGGATGATTTCTCGCTTTCTGTCTCTATGCCTCTGTCTGTCTGTCTGGCGAGCGCACGCGCCCTATAGTGAAAAACCTCTCCAAAAAAAAAAAAAAAAAAGAACAACAACAAAAAAAATAAATTGCTATTGATTGAAAGCTAAAATTAATTCTTCATGCTTCTGTCTTTTTAGCTGCCATAATTTAAACTATTTGAGTTTACGAAATTGTGAACATTTGACTGACCAAGGAATGGAATATATTGTAAACATCTTTTCATTGATATCATTAGATCTCTCTGGAACAGTCATCTCTAATGAGGTAAATATATATATACATATTCAAAAGATTTAGTCTCTTTCATTTTTTTTTGTAATAGACAGAATACTATATTTTGAAAAGTCCTGACAGATTGGAGTATTGCATAATAATCCAATTTTTTTTTTAATAGAAGCAAGGTTTAAGTTCATTTTTCTTGTGGTTGACGCATTCTGTAAAACTACCTGGGTGACTTGAGATCTAAGTCTTTAGTTTAACTGAAGTCTAGAAATGTTCCTGTTGAAACTACAAAAGGATACATTTTAAGGAACTCATTTCCTGAAAGCTGCTGATTCTACTCATCAGAGTTGAAATTTATGTGACACCTATCCTACCACTCTGGGTCTGTACCATATACTAATAGAAAAGAAGATAAACCCCAAGAGATTGGCCATGTTCCTAAAAGATTTTAATGAGGTATAGTTAGGTAAGGAATGTGCACGGTGCTCTCGAAAATCAGAGCATTGGGAGAAATATATAGGAAGACAGCAAAGGTGAGGATCCTCCCAAATCTGCTTGCTAAATCCCTAATCATCCCTGGAGACTCAGATCAAACATCACCGTATGCCAGGCCATCTCTGAGAAGACAGGCAAAGATTGGAACTTTATGTGCATTCTCAGCCCCAGTAGATCCTTTAGCATGATCTGTTTCTCTTGTTTTTCATTGCATTACATACATCTGTGCTATGTGTCCGTCTCTTCCCAATACTTAGCGGGCTCTTTTAGATGAAGGTCTATATCTGTTCATCGGTCTAGGTTCTTCCCTTTCTTTATCTGAGTGAACTTAGATTCACCCTCCATTCTGCTAGGAACTCTCCTTTCCCCTTCCTAGGACTGTCATCCAAGTATAGTAAGAGTCAGAAGTGGGGAGCAGTTACAAGCAGTCAACTCGTTATGGTGGGGTCAGCTTCTTGGCTTTTCAGTGTTATTTTTACTTGATCTGGAATGTCTACTCTTTAGTTTCTTGTTAAGATAGAGCCTTGATGTGTTTTCCTTGTCTCAGATCTAATGCCCTTTCATGTCTTCAGGCTTCTTTGTCATGTCTGCCTTGCTCTGGGCCCCTCTTAATCAAGCTGGAGTGTGGGGTGCCTGTGAGGCTGTCTTAGACATTTTCCTGCTCCTACATCATGCCCACAGATCAGTGCCTCAACATCCTCCTCCCCCACCTTCCCACAGAGTGGGTAACCCACATCAGCCAGATTCAAAGATGGGTTTGGTGCTTATGAGGCATTTGTGAGTGGTTAGTAAATAGACCGGGGAGGCAAGGGGTTTCCTCCATCTTCTATACCTCAGAAGCAGCTGCTGCATTCCCTTGTGGTTCACTCACTCTGAATAGGTCCGCTGAGGTTCCAGCTTCACTGGATGACCTTAGTCCCTGGGCCTCAGTAACACTCATTGTCTTTCTAGCATAGGGCCCATAATGGTATTCTATTGTTGATAATCACTGCACAGTGTCATTACACCGTATGGTTTCTACCACTTACACTGCCAACTCCCTGTTAAATTCCCTCAGTTGAGTTGTTTCTGCTTTCTTCATTGGATCTTAACTTATACAGGTTGAGTACAGGGATATACTGATGTTTTGTTGCTTTTTTTCAACCCAACCAGGGAAAGGTAAAATGGGTTCCCATTTATTCTTATAGCCTATCTGGTGATTCCAACTTCCTCTCTAGCTAGCCTGAGAAGGTCTAGAATAAGCTCCTATATAGAGTTCCCCCCAGCATATCTCTCTTTCTTTCTCTTTTTTCCTTTTGCTTCCTTCTGGCTCTTTTTTTCTCTCCCTCTTTTCTTCCTTTTTTCCCCCATCCTCTCCTTTTCCCTCTTCTCATCTTTGCTCTCTCCTTTTCTCTTAGCATAGACTTTTAAATCAGGGGGTGGAAAAAATGTTCCAACTCATTACATGGTTTTTAAACTGTCATACCCCAAGTCTTTCATGGTCTAGGCTTTTGAATCTTAAAGACTCAGAATTTTTTTTTTCTGTGTTCTTTGTAAGAACTTATCCCTGACACATCTGAGCAGAATGCCCAGCTGTTGTCTGAAGGGTCATGGGGTAATAAGCAGCAGAGGATCAAAGCACATTATAAAAAAATCAAAATATAATTCTACCACAGCACTTATCATAAGACTGAAGTACCTGATGAATGCTTGCTGACAGAATGAAGTGAAGGTTGAATTTTCTGTCTTTGTAGTATTTTCAGAAAATTCAGTTTTTATTTTTGAAGCTAAATATTAAAATTGTATCTACTGAGGACAGGTTATAAACTTAGGACTACAACCTGAAGTTCCATTTTCTGTTTTTATTTTCATTTAAAGAATGTATTTATAATTTGAGGGAGCTGTAAATGGTCATCTATGGAGAAAAATGCTAGATATTTTCTGCTAAAAATTTGAAAAATAAATCTTCTAAAGGTTGTTGTTTTCTTCCTCTGAGTAGTTAGACTCTGATCTAAAAGGCAAATGATTGACAACCACAGTGCTACAACAGCTGTGGAAGCTAACCTCAAACAGTCAAATTAAAATGAGTCAGCCCGGATGTCAAATTGGGCAGCTAAACGCCAGCCTGGAGTTTAGGTCTGATGAAGTGCAAATTTGACTGCAGGCTTAACATTTGGAATCTTACAGATATTCATGAAAGATCCAATGTGACCAGTTGTTCCTTTTGGGGAAAAAAGTGTTTCTTATGTTTTTAATAATTACATTCATTGTCAATTCTTCTCAATGATGTTTTTAGTTAGAATCATACTAATCATTTAACTAACAAATATTTATTCTGACTACTTACAGTGTTGGGGATGTGAGAATGAATAAAACACATGCGGCCCCTCTTCTTAGCACTTACCTTCTAATATTTGCCTAGTACGAAGTATTATGGGTGTGGGAAACAAACAGAAGGGAACCTAACCTGGCTGAGAGTCAAGGAAGACCTAGCTAACAGACCAAGGAAGAAGGGGTGTGCTCTGAGCAAAGAAACTTTTGTCTGCACAAACATGTAGATGTTCAAAAGTGTGGTGACATAAGTAAATCCATACATTCAGGTGTGACCTGGTAGTGAGAAGGGGTGAGATATGATGTTTGCGAGGTATACATGGGATCAGGTTGCTCAGGGCCCAGGGACCACATTAATGAATTTGGCCTCTGCCTTTTGAAAGGATATTCAGTGTTGTCAATCAGCACAGTAACATGGTCTTATTTACATTTTAAAAAGACCATTCTCTGCTTGATAGACATGGAAATAATCAATGCTAGTGATGAAACAGTCATCCAGAAGAAAAGTTATGGAGGCTGTATTAGGTCTAGAGCCAGAGAGATGGCAGTAGGGGTTGAACAAAGTCAGCATGTTAAAGAGACACTGAGGAGGAAGAATCAGCAAGAGACAGAGACAGACTGTGTGGGAGCAAGGAAGAGAGACAGGGAATCGAGGATGATCAACAGATTTTTGGTTTAAGTATCTATGGAAAGAGCAGATTTTTTGCCAGTTCAAAAATGGGCATGTGTAGTTTGAGTCACCTGTACAATAGCTCTGTAGAGATTTAGAGGAGCTCAGAAATACTATTGAAATCACTCCCCAGAGGCAAAGAAGCTTTTAGGGGTGCAGGGGATGAAGGGACATTGTGTTCTGAAAATCATGAAAACTCATGAAGAAGTTAATCAGCAAAAGTAATAATCCAGATATTTAGAAATCAAGAAAGATATTTAATTGAGAGAACTAATTTAAATGGGAGAAGAACAGAGGAGAATACAGTTCTTTCAAACTCTGTATGTATTAATAATTCATTATCCTCAGGCATTCTTTTGCTAGAAAGCAGTGACTATTTTATTATATCATCCATGAATAAAAGTTGTTTAGAGAGGTGGGACCAGCAGATGGTGGAATGGTTATGTTGCTGGACTCCCACGTAGTTGACTGCGGTTTGAGTCCTGAACCTGGTGGCTTAAAACTCACGCTGGGTGTGTGTGTGTGCATGTCCAAGATTCTGAGAGGAGAATGGAGAAGAGGCTGTGGAGTGGCCATTCTCCCTGGTGTGTGATTTCTCACTTTCTGTCTCTCTG